CCGCTTCTGCCAGCAGGACTCCAGGACTCCGGAAAAAGGATGCTGGTTTCTCTAAGAGTCTTGGAAGCCTTTCTGGTCTCAGTGGCCAAGCCCTTGTGGCCTCCTGGGATCTCTTGCAGGGGCTGTGTGGATGTGGAGACTCGGGTCCAGAACCCCAGATGTTTCAGGCCTCCCTACACACTGATCACGAACTTCTCCAGTGGGTCAGTCCGGGCTGGCCACTGGGTAGCGCAGGGAGGCGGGGCAGGAGGCATGCCACTGAGGTCCCCCTCCAGGTGCCTCCAAAATCCTGTGGGGCAGAGGTTGCAGAAGAATCCAGAGAGCCCACCCACTAGGTCCCAGCCCCGACTGTGTGATCTCGAAGATCCTGGACAAGCACCCTCGTCCGGTTGTGGGTCTCTGGGAGTGTCAAGGCCACCAGGAGACGTGGCTTGGAAAGAGTATCTCATCCCCAAGGTCAAACATCTCAGTGTCACAAGTATTTTCCCACCTTTAATTTCAGTCCTTGCCCAGAGTCACTGAGGGGGCCAGTGGCTGCCTAGGTGAGGAGGAGGTGCCTGTGGGCGGGGACACGTACCGAGCCCCGAGCTCTTGGGACAACTGCGTGCGTGGCTCCATCTGCATGGGAGTAGGCCCCCTGGTTCCTTGTAACCTAATCGGGGTTGCCACTGTGGGCAGAGGAGGAGTCAAGAAGGGTGGTCGCTGAGATGCCTTCAAGTCCCCTTCTCTTCCGAGGGATTCACTGGGACAGAGATCATGGTGGTCACCTTGCCAGAGTCCAGCCTGGGTGCGAGGCCTGCCGCCAAGTGTTCAGATCCCGTCCTGGGACTCTCACCTCCTGACCATGCAGCGGCCTTGAGCCTGCGGTGGAGTTGGGGACAGAGCAGCTAGAAGCTGGTCTCACTGACAGCGTGGATAGGCATGAGGAAGGGCAGGAGGAGGATCCAGGGAACGTGGGGCAGTGGCAGGGCCACTCTCAGCAGTGGCTACACCTCTTTCTCTGCCCTTCCCTGGGTGCAACTAGCTCCCCCTTGTTGTGAGTCAAAGTCGCTCAGTTGTCTCCAACTCTTTGGGACCCCATGGCCTGTAGCCTGCCAGGCTCCTGTGTCCATGGAATTCTCCAGACCAGAACAGGAGTGGGTAGCCTTTCCCTTCTCCACAGGATATTCCCAACCCAGGGATCGAACCCAGGTCTCCCACTTTGCAGGTGGATTCTTTACTGTCTGAGACACCCTGGAAGCCCAAGAATACTGAAGTGGTAGCCTATCCCTTCTCCAGCGGATCTTCCCGACCCAAGAATCGAACTAGACTCTCCTGCATTGCCAGCTGGTTACCAGCTGAAGAAATGAAAGTCGCTCAGTTGTGTCCGATCATTTGTGATCCCATGGACTTTACTGTAACCAGCCAGGCTCCTCCGTCCATGGGATTCTCCAGGCAAGAATACTGGAGTGGGTTGCTACACCCTTCAACAGAGGATCTGCCTGATCCAGGGATTGAACCTGGGTCTCCTGCCTCCCAGTTGGGTTCTTTATGGCTGAGCCACCAGGGAAACCTTTAGCACCTGAGTTACCAGGGAATTCCTGCCCTCAGATGCAGATTCAAATGTTGATTGCTAACCCAACTGAACATTTCTAGATACCAACGTTAAGTGAATGTAGAACTTGTCACCTGAGAACAACCCAGATAATTCATGAGACTGCTAAGAGTTTTCACTTGGACAAGAGAAAATCCTTCCACTGAATAAAATTTCTAGCATGGGGGAGAGCAAATTGATGTGTACTCAGTTACTTTCCAACAAGGGCTTCTCATTTAAGTCATGGATACAGGCACAAACATAGTCAGCAAATAGGAGGCATGTAAGTCAAAGGATGCTATGACCACATAAGGTCCCTCCCAATGTTTCAGGGGATCCTTGGTATTTCACTGGTGCCATGACTATGATGATGATGGTGTGTTGGACATGATGGTGATAATTCATTGGCTCTTATTTTACCAAACTCTGTTAAATTTTTTGATGTTAATAAGGTAATTTTGAGAAGAGTCCCTTCTCACTGGGTGAATGAGATCATGTGGACCTAATGCTGGGCTTGCAGTAGAGCTTCATATGGTAAAATAAATCCCTGCATCATGCGATCTCCCAGCCCCCAGGGAACAGGAAGGATGGGAGGAGATGCAGAAGGAAGCTAGGTACTTAAAACTCTCTTTTCTATCACAAGAGATCATTTGAAGTCTCCCTACTGACAGGTACCCTTGACCCTTGCAGCTTTTGTTCACAGTATTTCAGCAACTACCCTATTTCCTTGAGCTACCTCTATCCTGTCCACACCTCAAAGCCTAGCCCGTTGGGATCTGCCCTCCCCAACATCATTCTGATGCCCTATGTTTCTCAGCTAAGCAGATGCCTTTATTTAGAGGGAGAAAGGCCCCAGCCAAGGGAAGAGACTAGATGGAGGGTGATAGAGCAGAATTCAGTCTCTGGGAGGAGAACTCAGGGCCTTGCTATCGGCAAGTCTCTGTCGATTAGTGTGGTGGTGGAACACACGTGGGCAAACTTGCTTGAGAGAGAGATTCTTTCAAGCAGTGGTGAGAGAACTTTTATTGGCACAGTAGCGTGGCAGTAGGTGGGGTTCTCAGGCCCTGGGATCAGGGGCTGGGGGCGGGGGGCAGGCTGGGAAGGGCGCAGGGGTGAGGCCAGGGCTAGATGAAGGTGAGGCGAGTAGAAGCCGGGAGGCCACAGCTCTCCTTGTGCTCCTCAAACAGTTGCTCCAGAGCCTTCATGTATAGCGTGTGATAGTGGTCCACCTGCTCCTCGGTGGGCTGCGGGCACTGGGGCACCGGGATGGGGCGGCCCACTGCAGGGACAGGGGGACTCAGGTCAGGGGAAGGGCCTCGGCTGCATACACAGCGGATAGCGGCCTTCTTCCCTGGACACGGGCACTCACCCACAGTGGTGATGGGTCTGGCCAAGGGCACCAGGCCCCAGGACTTGGCTGAGAAGAGACCACGGCCCCAGAAGATGCAAGGAGAGAAGGTCAGGAGCTTCTTGATGGTGACCTGGAACAGACGCTGCCAGGAGTCTGGGGCAAAAGCCTTAACTCTGAAGATGTCATTCTCCCCAAAGGAGTACACGGGCACCAGAGAGGCGCTGGGAAGGGGCAAGAGAGAAGAGGGTTGGTCACATCAGGGGCTCGAGGAGCACTCCCAAATTCCTCCCCCATAGGTTACCACTTTCCTAGGCATTAGGAGCAAATGATGGTTCTACAAGAAAGATCTAGATGGAGGGATTCTATTTCTTAAGACCAATGTATACTGGACCTTTTTATATACATTTTCACATACAGTCTCAACTACAACATGGTGACAAGGTGGGTATTAACTCTGTTTCACAAGTAAGAAGTGTGCAGGTCTGCCTGTTAGAGGGCATCATAAAAGAACGTGAGTCAAGGGCATACGAGCCCCCAGGGTCCAGCCATTCCCACTGTGGCCCTGTCTGTCTCTCTTCGTGGGAAGAAGCCTGGGGAATGGGCACCAGAGCTGGGCACAGAGGAAACACCCAAGGTCCGCCTAGAGCGTCCTCTAGAGGTGGTCAAAGTGTAAGCTCTGGGGACACACAGTCCACCTCCAGGGGGCTGGCGTGTAGGGATAAAGGGTAGATGACCAGACGCACTGTGAGGTTCTGACCATTGAAGGCAGCCCAGACTGGGCACCCACTCACCCGTGCCTCAGTGCCAGGCGGACGAAGCCTTTACGATTCCGGAGAGTGAGGCAGTGCTCCCCTGGGACAGCATACAGGGCCTCATTGGCCCCTCCGACCACGATGACCACAGCCCTGCCGAGCTGTGGTTCAGACAGAACAAAATCCAGGCTCTGACGGTTCACAGAACATACTCCTGTGGGCATGAGGAGGTTCAGGAACAGTCAGCCCCCCCTCATTGGCTCCATAGTCCCTCCCCTGTCCCTTTAGCACACTAAGTATCAGACATCACCCCCTTCTCTCCAAACTCCCTACCTCTGTGCCCCTGTCCACGTATCCTACAGTGACTCTCCCAGCGTGGATGCAGGACTCTGGGGCCAAGCCACCTCCTGACCCCCACTGGGAACCTGGCCAATTCAAGCCAAGTGCCTGGGGTGGGTGGTGAGTGGGGGTCACTCTGGCCAGATTGGGGTGGGGTCACTCTCTGTCACTCAGCTCAAACTCACCACAGGACAGAAAGTACTCTCGATGGCCTGGCATGTACAGGAGGCCATTCAACACGGCCAGTGAGAACCGAAGCCCTGGGAACTGCTGCGAGGAGCCAGTGCCCTCCGTGGCGAAGTTACAGAAGCTTCCGATGGCTATGATCCCGTGTGGGTGGGACACTAGCACGTAGTTCCTGTCTGGGGGCAGCTCTGCTGTCTTCACCAGCTGTGGGGGCAGGGGGCAGGATGCGGGAAAGAAAACAGAAGGCAGAACATCAGCTGAAAGGACTTCCCTCCACATCAAGAGACTTGAGAGTTCAGGATCTAAGATGGGGTCAAAGGCACGAGGGTCCACTCTGGAACACCATCCCACCCCCTGCCCCATCACCTGAACTTCAGCAGCCAGAGGTGAGAATCCATCAAGGGGAGGAGAGGGGAGGTGGGGAGGTAAGGGAGAGGGAGGGGTGGAGCATCCCTTGGAGGGTGACCTGTTACCTTAATGGGGAAATAATCGCTCAGGTGTTTCCAAACAGTGCAGTTCTTCAACCACTGACAACGCCTTCCACCTTGGGCAGAGAGATAAGGGGGGAAGAATCACTACAGACACCATTTATCAGCTCTCACTACTGGGGCCCTTGTAATTGTTTAGCTGCTAAGTTGTGTCTGACTCTCTGTGACCCCATGGACTGCAGCATGCCAGCCTTCCCTGTCCTTCACTATTTCCCAGAGTTTGCTCAAACTCATGTCCGCTGAGTCCATGATGCCATCCAACCACCTCATCCTCTCACCCCCTGCTCCTCCTGCCGTTGTTTAGCACTCACCTTGCTGGGGTGTGTCCCAGTCCAGGAATAACCATACCAAGTAGAGAAGAGAGAAACACCAGAGCGAGGTGAAGAGGAGGAAGACGCCAAGAAGGGAAAAGACAGGGCCTGGGGAAAGTTGGGAAAGGAAGATGGTTCAGATTGTGAAGCCGCAATGATTTCTCCCTTCTACCCTCACCAGTGAGATCCTTGCCTGTCTCCTTGCTAGACCGTCTCCCTGCTAGCCCTTTGCCCTGGACTTCCCTGGTTGCTCAGACGGTAAAGCGTCTGCCTGCAATGCAGGAGACCCTGGTTCAGTCCTTGAGTTGGGAAGATCCTCTGGAGAAGGAAATTGCAGCCCACTCCAGTATTCTTGACTGGAAAATCCTATCCACAGAGGAGCCTGGTAGACTACAGTCCGTGGGGTCCCGAAGAGTGGGACAGGACTGAGAGGCTTCACTTCCCTTCACTTCCCTTTGCCCTGGTGGTCCAGTAGCGGGTGCTGCAGCCTTCCTCCCTCTACCCTCCCCTTTCCCACCTTCCCAACTGGACCCCTGCCCAGCTCCCCTTACCCAGGAAGATGAAACAGAGCACATACTGGTAGATGCTCAGTACTTCTAACCACTGTTTCTTTAGGGTTTTCATGCTGGGGGTGGGTGGTGGGGTGGTGGGGTGGTGGAGACTCCCAGGTGCTCCCCTTCAGCCAGCAGGGCTCCCGAACCGCGGAAATGGGATGAAGGCTTCGGTAGGAGCACAGGAAACCTTTCTGGTAGAGTGGCCAAGCGCTTGGAGCTTCCCAGGATCGCTTGTAGGGGGCCGTGTGCATGAGGAGACTCTCATCAGAGCCCCAGAGGTCTCCAGTCTGCTCTCACTTATCATGAACTTCTCCAGTGGGTTGGTCTGGGCTGGTCCCTTCTTGCGACTGGGAGACGGCCTAGGGGGCGTGCCATGGAGGCCCAGCCCTCGATGCATTAGATATCATTGTGGGAAGGAGTCGCAGAAGAAGCCAGAGGGCCCACCCACTGGGTCCCAGCCCTGACTGTGTGATCTCCCCATTCCTGGACGTTCTTGGACGAGTGCGGGTCTGGAAGTGTCTAGCCACTCGGAGGTGTTACTTGGCTCCGGTATCTCAACCCGAAGGACAAACACAGCAACACACAAGTTTATCTCTAGGTTGAATTTCAGTCGCCAGCCATACTCCTCCAGGGGCCTGAGGCCAACTAGATGAAGAGGAGGTGCCTGTGGGTGGGGACCCCGGAGCACAGGGTCTGATCTTGGAAGAGCTCAGCTGAGAGCGGAGACTGAGAGCAGCGCGTGCGCATGCGCTGAAGTGCCCCTTCTGCCCCCACAGCCCACACAGTTATACCGGGATGGGAGCCCCCTCTGTGGGCAGAAGAGGATCAAGAGGGGTGATCGCCGAGATGCTTGAAGTCCCCTTCCCTCTCAAGGGATCCAGTGGGACAGAGTTCAGGGCTGGTGGGTTTGCCAAATGCCAATGTGGGGGCGGGGCTGGCACCAAGTATTCAGGCTCCAACCTGGGAGCTTCACCTCCTAACCATGCGGGGGCCTTGAGCCCTGGAGCGGGGAGCGGGCTGGGGAGCCTGGGAGCAGAGCAGGCAGAAGTTTCAGGTGTGGAAGGGCAGGAGGAGGCCCTGGGGCCTGGAACATTCATAGAGCCACTCTGAGCAACAGCCCAGTGTTTCCTGGGTCTTTCCACCCAGAACCCCCACGGTGGGCAGAGAAACTGTGGAAGGGCTCATTCTCCCCCAAAGAGAAGACTGGCACCGGGGAGTCTCTGGGGGCACAGGGGACGTCTGACTCTGGGGCCCTGGAGGCGGGGCTCCTCCCCAGCAGCCTTGCCAGAGAGGCCAGGCCTGGCCTGGACACCAACCCCACCCCTCCTCACCTCCCGGGTTCCTCACCGGAGGTCCAGTGCCAAATTGACAAATCCCTTCTGATGGCAGATCTGCAAGCTCAGCGATCTGATCTGGGATCTGGGCATTGACTCCAGCGGGTCCCTGGGCCCACCCAAGGCCAGAGGTCTGGGCCAGTGGGACTCGCCATGTGGGTGTGTACCCTGAATAGCAGGGCTCCCCGTTTTTCCCCGGGGCCTGGCCCTGAAGGGTAGAGGATGTGCAGGAAGCTTTAATCCCTGAGGAGTAGCTTAGGCCCCGGTGGAGAGACCTCTGGGGGCGTGGCTTTGTGGGAAAAGCTAAGAACTAGGGAGCCCCTCTAAGAGAGAGTCCACCAGACTGGGCATACCCTCAGGTGGACTGGGGCTGGTCCTCACTGTGACCATGGCCCAGTTCAACAATGGCCAGAGGCGATAAGCCAGCAGTTTTCAGGTCACAGAAAGTGTCCTTTGTTCTTGTTGTTGAGCTCCACTGTGCTTTATGGGATTTTATTTCCCGACCAGGGACTGAACCTGGGTCCTAGGCAGTGTGAACTCAGAGTCCTATCCATGGTACCACCTGGAAATTCCTGGATCATCACTTTTTGAAATAATTTTTTAATGAAAAGAAAATTGGACTTCCCTGGTGGCCCAGCACTTAGGAATCATCTTGGGAAGTCAGGAGATACAGGTTCGATCCCTGGTCCGGGAAGATTCCACCTGCCATGAGGCAACTAAGTCCATGTGCTGCAACTACTGAGTTGGAGTCACAGCTACTGAAACCTGAGCGTCCTAGAGTCTGTTCTCAGCAACATGGAAGCCAGGGCCATAAGACACACGTGCACCGCCAATAGAGAGTAGCCCTGGCTTTGGGCAACTAGAGAAAGCCGCGCATGCAAAAGCAAGACCCCAGTGCAGCCAAAAATAAAATAGAAAAAAATTAAATTAAAACACTATTACAAATATTTCAAATTATTTATTTATCATTGGCTGTGCTAGGTCTTTGTTGCTGTGCAAGGGCTCTCTCTGGTTGCAGCGAATGGGGGCTCCTCTGCCTTGCTGTGCGTGGGCTTCTCATTGCGGAGCCTTCTCTACTTTCAGAATACAGGCCCTAGGCTCAGGCTTCAGTAGTTGTGGCTCCCAAGCTCAGGAGTTGCAGCTCTTGGTCACTAGAGTGGCCAGGTTTCAGTCGTTGTGGCCTTTGGGCTTAGCTGATCCTCGGCATCCTTAGTTGTTCCACGGGATCCTCTCGAACCAGGGATCCCATCTGTGTCCCCTGCACTGGCAGGCCGGTTCCCGTCCATTGGATCACATAAAGTCGCTCACAATATTTCACTGGTGCCATGCCTGTGATGATGATGGTGGTGATGGACACGATAGTGATAAATTCATTGACTCTTCTTTTGCCAAACTCTTTTAAATTTTTTGATGCTAATAAGTTAGTTTTGCCAAGAGTCCCTTGTCACTGAGTGAATGAGTTCATGTGGACCAAATGCTGGGCTTGCAGTAGGGCTTCATATGGTAAAATAAATCTCTGCTTCATGTGATCTCCCAGCCCCCAGGGAACAGGAAGGATGGGAGGAGATGCAGAAGGAAGCTGTGTACTTAACTCTTTCTCTTCTATCACGAAAGCTCATGCCAACCCTCCCTTCTGACAGGCACTCTTGACCCTTGTCAGCCTTTGGTCACAGTGTTTCACCATCTACCCTATTGTCTGCACCTACTTAAACGCTGTGCACACTCCAGAGACTAGTTCTTCAGGGATCTACCCTCCCCACCACCATTCTGATGCCCTGTATCTCTTAACTAAGCAGATGCCTTTATTCAGAGGGAGAAAGGCCTTAGCCAAGAGAAGAGACTTAGACGGAAGCTGATAGAGCAGAATTGAGTCTCTGGGAGGAGAATTCAGGGCCCTGCTCTCAGTCTAAGGCAGCAAGTCTGTCTCGATCAGGTGGAGATGGAACCCACGTGGGCAGGCTCACTCCCAGAGAGACTCTACGAAGCAGAGGTGAGAGAACTGGCTCTTGCTGGCACAGTAGCAGGCAGCCGGTGGGGGGGCTCAGGCCCTGGGATCAGGGGCTGGGGGGCCGGGAGGCGGGGAGGGGTGAGGCCAGGGCTGGATGGAGGTGCGGCGAGTAGAAGCCGGGCGGCCACAGCTCTCCTTGTGCTCCTCGAATGGTTGCTCCAGGGCATTTGTGTAGAGCATGTGGTAGTGGTTCACCTGCTCCTCGGTGGGCTGCGGGCACTGGGGCACCGGGATGGGGCGGCCCACTGCAGGGACAGGGGGACTCAGGTCAGGGGAGGGGCCTCGGCTGCACACACAGCAGATAGCGGCCTTGTCCCCTGGGGACGGGCACTTACCCACAGTGGTATGGGTCTGGTCAAGGGCACCAGGCCCAGGACCTGGCTGAGAAGAGACCACGGCTCCAGAATATGCAAGGAGAAATGTCCACGACCTTCTTGAAGGTGGTCTGGAACAGACGCTGCCAGGAATCTGGGGTAGAAGCCTTAACTCTGAAGATGTCATTCTCTCCAAAGGAGTACTTGGGCACCAGAGAGGATCTTGGTTGCAGGGGCGGGGGGTGGGGTGCAAGAGAGAAGAGAGCTGATCATGTCAGGAGCTCTAGGAGTGCCCCCACATTCTCCCCCACAAGATACCACTTCCCAAGACCATTTGAAGCAAATGACAGTGGTACAAAGAACCATCTGGGAGAAGGGACTTAATGTTTCTTGAGAAATTAATGTGTACTGGGCCGTCCTATATACGTTTCTCCATACAGTCTACAACCACCACATGATGGTAAGGTGGGCGTTAACCCTATATCACAAGTAAAGAAGTGTGGGGCCCTCCCTGATTGTCCAGTGGTTAAGAATCCACCTGCCAATGCACCAGGGGTTTGATCCCTGGTCCCGGAAGATCCCACCTCCGGTAGGGCAACGAAGTCAGTGTCCTCAAACGTCTGAGCAGGTGAGCTTAGAGCCTGTGCTCTGCAACAAGGGAAGCCACCACAAGGAGATGCCCGCAAACCGTAACGAGAGACTAGACCCCAGTCACTGTAACTGGAGAAAGCCCCCATAGCAATGAAGACCCAGCACAGCCAAAGTAAATACATAAATAATAGATGATTTTTTTTTTAAAAAAGAAGTGTGCAAGTTCTTGTCCGTGAGATGGTGTCATAAAAGATTGTGAACCAAGGGTGTCTGAATCCCAGGGTCCTGCAGTTTGCACTGTGATCCTGTCTGTCTCTGTGCGTGGGAGGAAGCCTGGGGAATGGGCCTCAGGGCTGGGCACAGAGGAATCATTCAAGGGCTGCCCTCTAGAGGTGGTCACCGTGTAAGCTCTGGGGACACACAGTCCACCTCCAGGGGGCCAGTGTGTAGGGATAGAGAGTAGATCCCCAGAGACGCTGTGAGGTTCTGACCATTGAAGGCAGCCCTGGCTGGGCCCCCGATCACCTGTGCCTCAGTGCCAGGCAGACGAAGCCTTGACGGTTCCAGAGAGTGAGGTACTGCTCCCTGGGATGGCAATGGTGATCCTGCGACAGAATAAGATCCAGGCTCTGGTTGTTCACGGAACACGCTCCTGTGGACAAGAGGGGGTGCAGGAACAGTCAGTACCCACTCCCTTGCCCTTTAGCTCAGGAAGTCTGAGCTCTCCACTCCTTGCCTTCCAAACTCTGTATCACCCCTTTTCTTCCAAACTCCGTTTTCCTGTGCCCCCGTCCATCCGCTCTACGGCACCTCTCCCAGCAGG